GTAGATCTGCTTGAGTTTTCTGATTTTAAATCCTAGGGAGAAATTTTTCAAGCTATTCCTTCGCTTGATGTCTACTAAATATTCGAAGGTCAATGTACAACGAACGAAGAAATTTGTAATATCAAAAAATTTAAAAAAAGAATCCGAGAAGAAAGTAATTTTGCGTAGATAATCGATCGTTTGTAAAATATCGTAAAAGAAAATGGAATCACAGAAATGTAAATCTGGAAATTTAAACTCGTCCGCATCTCAATGCGAATAAATCTTTGACTCTCTGTTAATTAGAACACACCTAGATAGATATTGCTTGAATATTTATCATTTCGAATTTTTTATATATATATAATTCATTGACGAAAGTAACTTGTTACGAAACGTGTTGCATTTACAGGGATCAGTGTCTCTTGAATGAACGTCTAAAGTGCACACGTAACTCATATCCTTTAAATCAAGGACTTTAATTAAAGAGAACACGCAGGATGTAAGCCACTCATCATGAACAAAATGCAACAGTGTCACGTCAATTACACACTGCATCAGCTTGTGATTAAAATTCCTTTCCTTCCATCTGGCTTTTAACTTTCGAAATTTATACTCGGCTCGCGGTTCCTAGCAAACACATCACTCTGCCTTCTATGCCCTTACTTGTGTCTTTCACACTTTGTAATTTTATGTGCTTCATAATTTCTAAGCGTAATTTTATTTATCATTCGCGCGTACGTTCCCCTTTAATTGTTAATTCTCGAAGGGGATCTCCCTTCTCGCGTTGTTCCGTTCTACGCAAATGCAATTGGCGTTCTACGAACTCTATGTTTCCTCTTCAACAACATTGATATTTATCGTCGATTCTCGATAGTTAAGCTTCACTCTCGACTGGTGATTAAATTTGGTTATTTAATCTTGGAATTTATAAGTTTGATTTAAATTAGATTTAACGTAAATTTCTACAACACGTATTTTTGTAACTTAATGACTAACACTAACTATTTTTTTCATTATTACTATTAATATTCAAACACTATGGTATTCGAGAGGTTATTATTTTTCTGTACATTTATTTATAATAATTTTACCGAGTTAATTTTCTTTTAATATACTAACACACTTACTAAAGTTGTGTTACAAATATAAATTGTGTATACTTTGATATATTAAAAAACAGATAACAATATTTTGAACAAATATTCGAATATTACTCTATTAAGGGTTAAGTTATATTAATTTCTTTGAATTTCATAAAAATCGTAACATCTAGAAACAGATAATAATAAAAAAGATATGAAATTTTTCTTCATAATCACGATACTAAAAATAGAATTTCATAATGTAAATTGATTGAAAAAAGAAAATTGATAAAATGTTGCGTCGGAGTATGAGAAGTTACTATATCTAACACACCTTTATATCTACTTATATTTGTTCAGTCTTATCTTCGTATATTACGAGACTGTTGCACTTTATTATATTTACTTTAGATTAAATTTCTCCCTCTCGTAACCGTCTAATATAGTAATGCAAAATCGAATACATCATTTCCTAAAATTAACCCTTAACCACCATCATTAAATATTTGAAGACACAGAAATTTACGTTTCGATTCTCTATCGCGAAAAATATATACTCGTAATATATATTCAAAATTTTGGAAGTAATCTAATAAGTTTTAACGATCTAACGACACGCAGCGTCGTAATCTGTATCTAATATGTCAAAATAATGCTCTTCTGGAGCATTTCAACAAATCGTATAACAATATTAATGTAAGAGGAAATTTACTTCCACTTCGAATACACATTCTCCCCGACTATGACGTATGTTCAAATAGTTGCAAGAATAGCTGCAACAAGTTTGAAGCGTAGGAACGTGTTTCGAACAAAGTTAAAAAAAAAAAAAA